GGGGCACGAGTTTGTGCTGCTTGAGAGGCTCTTGAGAGGGCTCTTGAGGAGGGGATGGACGTGCGGGGTGGGGTGGAGGGGCTTCCTGTGGTGATATCGACTGGGCGGGATGTGAGGGAGGCTGAGCTCATGGCGTCCCGGTGAGAGTCACGTCAAACGGTGTGAGTGGCACTAGTGATCTATACATGCAGCCCGCCTCGATTACTTAGCCGGAGCGACCTATCCGTGAACCTAGCCTGTGAATACTTAGCAGCATGACGTGGACATGTGAATACTTAGCAGCATGCGGAAATCCAAACTGGAGTTTGATCTCAGTAAGCCCTGCGGCATTTGATCAGTGGCATCATGCAATGCAGTCGATCAAGGAGGTTGCACAGTGAAGTCCCAGAGCAGAGACGGAGCAATCAGGGTAGGCCCACCAGGCCCCCAGGATCTGGGTCTATGCACATGCTGCGCCCCACGATGGCGGGGATCACACCACAGCCCTCAGTGGGACTCTGTGGCGCCACACACTTAGATGGTTGCTCGCAAGGGCTAGAATCAGTTGACGAAGTTCCAGAAATTAGTTACTGACTACCTAGCACTTTAGTTACTGAATACCTAGCCCTTGACTTGCAGAGCGGAATGAATGCTGGGTCGGAGGGAAGAACCGTTTAACAAACGCAGTAGCCCTTTACCATGCTTCCATACATGAACCACCATGAAAGCAAACCACAGCGAGAACAACAGGTAACTAGTTCTGCAGGTACGTTTGCACAGGTCCCAGAGGAGGTCTTCGTTGGCCACCGCTCCTCTGGGACCCCGGTGGCCCCCTGCTGGTACAAATATATAATATAGGTAGTGACGCACACACACACACACTTAGGATAGGGTGTACTGAACTGAAAGCGGTGCCACACGCCAGCCTAAGAGACCCAAATCCTGAAAGGTCCAGGAAAGTCCTAAAGAACCTGGAGGTCTGTAAGAAGAAGTGAGGCCAAAAGCTCAAGGTCGAAGACGGCGACGAATCGAACAGGGTGACGGCGGCTCGTGCACATCTGCAGAAAGTGAACCAAATCCCTACGCAATACCGTGTTGTGAGGTTCTTGGCTTAGCCTCTCGCCATTCGAAAAATGGAAAATTGCAGGTACGTCGATTTGGCGTCCCAAATCGATTTCACAGACCAATGCAAGCGTCTTTGTTAGTGCCAGACTTGCATGGTCCCTGGCACCCCCTGCTAAAAATCCGAAAGGATCCCTATGATTCCAAGGGTTACATACACACACGCCTCCCCGAAGGGAGGCATGTGTGACCTCCATCCTGCCCGGAAAGGAGGTAGGCACATGTGCACGCTAAAGGGACAGATGAAAATGAAAAGGACAAGACAGACAAAGGTGTGTGTGGTTGCCGGTGAAAAGGAACCTAGTGAAGAGGGACAACCGATGAGCCAAACCTCATTGTAACGAACCTGGGCCACCTGAACCTTGCTGTAAGTAAAGTACGCGTGCGTGTATGTGTACAAACTAAGGTCCGGACGATAGTGCGCGCAAGAGAAAGAAAGGATGAGGATGAAGAGACATGAAGACAGAAAGACATGAAAGAAAAGAGGAAAAAACCGTCTGTGGGGGCCGATGAAAGGGGAACCAAATGAACGGGGACAAACCGATGACAAACCAAACCTCATTAGAAAAACCTGTTGCAGAAGCCTAGTTTGCTTGTAAACACGCCGCGCGCGAGGAAAGAGGGGGCAGGGGGAGGAAGAAAAGAGAGGGAAAGAAAGAAAGAGACAAAGGTGCTCCCAGCACCAAAAAGAAGGGCTCCCAGCTATGACGAAGCATCCAGGGACACCCAGGGAGGAGGGTGAAGAGAGGAAAGAGAGAAGGAAAGAAAGAGAGAGGGAGAGAAAGAGAGGAAAGGAAGGTGTTCCCAGCTACGAACAATCGTCCAGGGACACACCCAAGAAAGAGAGGGGTGATCCTGAGTATTCCATTCAGGAAAACCCCAGAAAGCAAAGAAAGAAAGGAGGAGGGAAGGGGGAGGAGGGGGAACTAAGTGCTTGACAGGTTCCAATGAACCTTGAACAGACTTCGGTCGCTGCGACCACGTACGGCTTGCCCCGGGGCTGCCACCTTTGACCGCTACGGTCACGTAAAGGCATAAGCCAGCTTGGAATTCCAAAGATGGGAAAAAATCATCGGACGTACGGCCTAGGCCACCTTCGCCCGCTGTGGGCACTTACATCTCCGGGCAGGGGAGATAACGACGTACACCCGTTCGACGGGTCCACGGGAGGCACTCTGCGGGCTCATCCCGGGTTGGCACGAGGCCAAACACACTTAGGATAGGGTGTACTGAACTGAAAGCGGTGCCACACGCCAGCCTAAGAGACCCAAATCCTGAAAGGTCCAGGAAAGTCCTAAAGAACCTGGAGGTCTGTAAGAAGAAGTGAGGCCAAAAGCTCAAGGTCGAAGACGGCGACGAATCGAACAGGGTGACGGCGGCTCGTGCACATCTGCAGAAAGTGAACCAAATCCCTACGCAATACCGTGTTGTGAGGTTCTTGGCTTAGCCTCTCGCCATTCGAAAAATTGAAAATTGCAGGTACGTCGATTTGGCGTCCCAAATCGATTTCACAGACCAATGCAAGCGTCTTTGTTAGTGCCAGACTTGCATGGTCCCTGGCACCCCCTGCTAAAAAATCCGAAAGGATCCCTATGATTCCAAGGGTTACACACACACACACATACACACACACATACAAAAACTGCTCGATTGTTGTCTTTGGAGGTGATTAGACCCTGGAAGAGTAAGTGGATAGTGGACACCCCTACCCTCCAACTTAGAACCTCTGACTGCCTCCGGACACCTCACTGTCGTGTGAGGAAAGCGAAGTGGGGTAGTCTGTGTAGTCCTCTTGGCTTTTCGGCTAACAGCTAGTTGCAGCTAGCATCGAGTTTCCCAATCCATCATATCATATCTGAGGGACAGGCCATTCGCCCATTTTCATCAACCAAAAGGACGACATCCCCAGCCCTTGGGACCAAATGAACCTCAACTCGGCACAGAGTGACAGCCAAATGCAGCAGTTAGGGAGCTCAGCACCAGGCAGTGCGCCCGGGGCGTAAGCCAACCACCAGATCGCTGTCCTGAGAGGAACTGGCCACTCCAACACTATGAGCGTTGTGGGCATTAGAGTCATGAAAATAGGGAGACCTCTCAACCAACCACTTGGTTGCCTGTTCTTCCTTGCATCCGGAGTCCAAGCAGGGTAGGTGTTCGCCCATTTTAAGATAGACCCACCCAAACACCTCCGAAACGCAGAAACAGATTATTTTTCCGATGCCAAAGGGCGCATAGACCAGGACCTCCTCTCAGAGTCCTGTCATTCATCACATGTCTCCGCTACGCACTGCTCCGCAGTCACTTCTCTTGGTTTCACCCTCCCGTGCAGCATGGAAACTGCTAGTTGGTGCAATGCTCTTCCGGTGGGCATGCTTGACATGCAGAAAAAGCATCACCGAAAAAAACACGAGACACTTTTTGGACCTGTGGGCCCTGGAAGTGTTGGGAACCTGCAACATCCGCCAAAAGGATATCGTCTGGGTCCAGAGTCTAGAGTCGTCTAGAGCCTGTCTGGACAAAGCCATGACGTGTGGGGCGCGTAATGAGCTCCAATTTTTGTCCTATGGCTATAACTACGGGCAACCTTGCCACAACAAGGAGAAATGATATGAAGTCTCAAAGAATGCCAGCCAGACTTCCCGCCGTGCTCTCTCATTTGACTCTCTTTTGTTGATGCTTTCTCTCCGACAGGCCGGGGGGGCGGCATCATACTGCGGCCCTGAAGATGAAAACACTCCAGCGTCCACGGCAACCTCCGATGCGGCGCTCGCTCCGCGGCGGGGGGGGGCACGTCTTGCCACACGTCTTGCACAAACGACGCCTACACGTTTTCCGCTATGTGGAGTAGGGACTGTAACTACCTTGAACTAATTCCAACGCAGTCCCATTGCACTTTACTGAAGACATGGTGTTCGCACGGAAAACCTAGTTGGCCCTGCCTGATCATCGCAAAGCACCCTCTGACCAGTTCTCTTACCCTCAGCGCGACACCACATCAAATGACTTTGGCGACTCATTTAAGCATCACTGCCACTGCCAGTGGGCACGCGGACGCGATGGCTCGCACCATGTGGATGGGACACCGTTGACCACAGTGGTCATGTGCCGCCGACTATGCAGATCCTCGATGATGGTAGTGACGGATTCCTGCCGGCTTGGTGTGTGAAACATGTCTTTTTCCTGGCCCGCGGATCCCCGAGTCACTAGCAGAATCTGGATTAAGAGCACAGCTCATCGCGAAGTAGTCTTCGTCCTTTCCTTTTGGAAACCTAAGGGCTCCAAAAGTTGTTGTACTTCTTGGTTCCCGACGTGGTCTCACCGCTCATGGGTCCGCTCATGGCTTGGATGGGTGGGCCATTTGGAAGAAGTGAGCGCAGCCACACGACAGTGGAGCAATCAGGACCCCAGATCGAGCGCTGGTTCCCTCTAGATAGTAGAGGCGCCATTTGCTTTTTTTGTGTGGGCCCGTTGGCTTTCTGGCCATGCCAAGTGGTATCATCATGAATGTTAATTTGGTCACCTTGAATGTCTGCCTTGTCATGCTTGACATGTTTCCCCTTGTTCGTTTGGACACCTCAGTGACCTGGTGCATCACACAGGTGACCTCGATGCTGGCATAAGGAAAGTATGACAGAAAGCACCGACTAGCTACTCTTGGCCGACTTCTTTGAACCCAAAGTTGTGCAGAGCCTGCTAAAGCAAAGGAAACGGCCTGCTGCGGCTCAATCAACATGTCACCATATTCAATAAGACCATGAGCAAGCCAAAGACCAGGTTTCCAGGTAAATGGTGACTTGATTTATAGCCTGGAGCATCTTGGGCCTGACCCCACCACTGTTAGTGGTGCAATACTTTTCGACTCTTGCCTGAGATGCATCACGACAACCTTCACAATCACCTTTTTTGCAGCCTCCTAGCGCTTCCGATATGTACAAGCTTGAAGCAACTCGCCTTCTCCTTAGCCGAGAGGTATCTTTCAAAATCCTTCTAATGTCCATCTGGAAAGGGCTACCAAAAGAACCACCAGCTAATTCATCCTGCCGGGGGTTCCACCTTTTTGCATTCTGCACCAGATCAATGAATAGATGGCTCAAAACCCACTTCCACCATTCTGCATGGCAGCGCACAATAAACCACTAAACCATTGGCCCCTTAACTTTGTGTGCCTGTGCCATGCATCGTTTAATCCATGGGAAAACTGATTCCTACACGAAATCTGCTACAGTAGGTGCCGTGCCGTGCGATTTGTGGCCCTGGCGTTCCTGCGTTACACAAAACTGCATGAAATGAACCTGAAATGAAGTGCAAGGCTGTATGCTAACTGCTAACTGAGTCCCTACAATGTTCCCTTTCCATTCCAAGTGACCATCACTAGCAGTAGTCCGGCAGTCTCACAAACATGATCCATAAGAAGTGCTGAATCTCAAAGTCTTGGGTGAGCTTATTACTGCTTATTTGGGCGGACAACCCATGCAACCCCGAGCAAGAAAACCATGACCGACGGGTCCCCGACCATGACCGACCAGTGAGCGGTGAGCAGCTGCGGGTCTGGCCTTGGTCGCACGGAAGCGCATTTCCACAAAGAAGCCTCGGCAAGTGCTGCGCGGAGCACAGTCAGCTCCAGGTTCCGCAGAAAGACCACAAGGATGTGGCTACAAACAGCGGGCCATCCCACTTTGTATGGCGGATGTGTAGGCAGTCCATGAAGATCTGGTCATTGTACTACAGACTCTAAAGGATGCCAAGTCGAGAAACTGCCTGGCTTCACCAGGACTTGCTGAAAGCCGAGAGATTCGATGGTCCTCAAAAGGCAAAAGAGTTGGCTGCAGTTTCAGGAGGTAGCACACCTTATGTTGTGGGTTGATGAATCTTCTGGACTGCCACCCATGTACCCCACCTTGATGAGAGAAACTCTGCAGCAATGGTTGTAGATGACTTCAGTGTCTACACTCCTCACCACCGCGTCTATCTCTGCGAAGCGTGACTCCACCTCCACAATGTGGCACAAACCTCGGGCTTCTCCACAGCGGGCTACTCCATCTCAGTTTGATGTCATCGACCCTAGTAGCGATGGCGGCCTCCACCCTAGTAGAGATGCCCTCCACCCTAGTAAAATTAGCGATGGCCTCCAACCTAAGACCTAAGCTTCCTACAAGACAATACGATATCCCATTAAGTTTCAAGTGCTGCTTTCACTGCTTTCCCCGGACTTCCCCCTTAACTTTCTTAACTGTCTCGCTTCCTACCCTCTGAAGCGCCCCGCAATGGGTGTGTTTGAACAGTTGAACATCTGAGGGTACGTAGGACATTCTCGCGGGCGAGTCCTGCGTAGGACATGATGGGGGGGCGTGTGGAACCTCATGAAAACCATGAGCAAACTGGCCATTGGATCAATTTGGATCCAGATTCGGCCTTCGGCCGTGACGTGTCCCACGTCCAAGTTCGGGCTCCAGACCCCCAAGCTTCAAGCAGCGCCGTGCCTGGACTCAGACCCTCCACACCAACTACCACCCCGCCCCAACTCCCCCGCAACAATGTTGAAATCAGAAAGGAACTCATTCCAATCTGCATTCCCCATCCAAAAACACCCAAATGACCATGTCAGAAGTGTGCAACAAATGTGATGAGCCTTTTGGGGTAGAAAATCATTGCCAGCATGGACCTTCCAATGAAGAAGCCCCAGACCCTTGCCATTCGGCCTCACAAAACCAAACCCATTGGCTGACCCTTTCAGATTCCTCATTGGCTGACCCGGGGTGGTTGCGGAATTCGCGCCTCTGTCACAAACTTGATCCAATCCGTGCCCATTAGCGCCAGGCAAAAAATCGCCACATCCAGCGAAGCCTTCGACAATCATCACAGCGAGTTGGAGAAGTAAACCCCAAAACAACCACAACAAATATCAACAAATGATGAGCCCGAAACACCCCTTATACGCCCCTTCAAGTCAAAAAATGATCCCCACAGCTCTTGGGTATGTTATGAGTGTCAGCGTCGAGTAGCTAAACGCGGCCGTCCGCCTTGGGCAAGGGCACCTTCGCCAAGTTGCAGGCAGTGACCCTGCCGCGTGCGGGACCGGTGTTTCTGTGGGTGTGCCCCGGAAGCGCTGCAAGCGGGGTTGATCTGCACTAAGTGATGAAGTGGACAGGAAACCACCAAGAAGATGCGCTTGTTCCCCCAACGAAATGCGAACTCCATACCATCCTCGTCACCTCGTCTGGGAAATTCGACTGTTCTAGATACTATATGATACTATACTATATAGTCCAGTTCTCTGCTCCACGCTGCGAACACAAGTTCACATCTGCTGGCATGAACATCTTGAACATTCTTGGACCAATAAAGCACACCGAGCCTGCTGTTAATCGGCACCAAGTCGAAGGAATGAACCTCCGCCCGATGATGACGCACTTCGACTCGGATGATCCCCCTCACGTGACCCTCTCGTGACCCTCTCGTCTCAAGCTCCGGGATGCGGGGCGGTTCGGTTCTCAAGCTCCAGTGCCAAACGGGCATCACCACAACCAAAGTCACCGATCACGGCATCCTTTGCCACCTGCAACTCCAAACTTCTGTTGGACAAAGGAGGGCCCCAAAAAATGGCTTCCAGCCTCCTTCTTCAGCCAACCTCACCCCAACCCACAATACAAAATAAGGAAGTTGAGAAGCGTAGAAAAACAAAGCACCTGTTTACACATTCCACCCTCAGGGAGGCACGGATGACCTCATCCAGGGGGTTCTTCGGCCACTTCGCCGCTTGCGCGCGGAAGCCCTCGTGGTAGGCATCCGCCAGGGAAGGATCCTCCGAGAAGAGCTTGAAGGCCTCTTGCCCCGTCATGGTGTACAAGGTCTCATTCAGCCAGCGAAACCTGAGCGAAATCGGACCGCTGGTCCGGCAGCTTCGAGCGAAATCGGCCGTGGTTTTGGGGTCTGCGTCTTGGTCGACCAAAAGCACTGCGAGGCTATGCAAGCTCTGCATGAAAGCAGGGATCAGGGAAACCCCTCCAAGGTGAGTTTGGGTTGATGAGGCACTGAGGATGTTGATCTTTGGGGCCGACTAGCCACAGGTTTCGGGGCCTCCAGTGGTGGAGCCTCCAGTTGCGGTAGCGGCGCGGAATTCGGAACCCGCCTAAAACGGGCCCCAAGAGAAACTCAAATGCAAAGCAACTGTACCCCAAACACTACACATAGCCCTAGGTGGAAAAGTATCACATAAACCGACGAGCAAAAAGAAGGGCCGATTTGCAGGACCAAGTCTGACTCTTCTTCAAGACTGTTCCGTGGCATGCGTGAAGGCTTTTGGCTGAAACACGAGGACAGCCGACAAATGATTCTTTTCTTCAGAAGGCCCCTCCCTCCCTCCCTCCTTCCGCTTGTCATGCCCCATTGAAATCGCCTGGATCCCTTCAGCCTCTTGGCGGCTTTGCCCAGAACGCCTCCAGATTCAAAGCTTTCAGTCGACAAAAATGTAAAGACTACCCTAGCCCTAGCGCAAGCCAAGAAAAAACACGGAAGAATATCGACTCTTTTCGGCGTGCATCACCAAGGTTGGCTCGTGTGCTGAACGAATGCGTCTATTGGAGGCGTCGATCGCACCAACTTCGCCTGAATTTCGGATGTCCTATGCCAACGAAGACGGCCAAAGACAAATTAAATATAGTCGTCAGCCAAAGATACCACATACCAGGCGACCCAAGCAACCCAACACAGCTGGAGACAACCAGAGACAGCTGGAGACGTCACAAACATGCGACCCAAGCAACCCAGGCCCAGCACCACCGCGACCCACCACCCGGAGACCAGCGGTTGCTGGGTCCCTACGAGTCGACCCCGGTCCGGAGATCGACCGAGATCGAGTTGACCGCAGTGGGCAGAGCTTTGCCCGAGTGGAGCAGCGCCTGGGCTTCGGGCACTTGGCTCTGCTTCGGGCACTTCAACTCCTCCACGTGATGCTCTGCTTCGCACCCAACACATCTGCATGTCAGCTGAATCCCACGACTTGGGGGTGTACATGGAAGGGACCATGTGTTGATCCACATTTGTGGTGCGCTCCTGGTACCTTTTGCCTCTTCTTCGAGCCACTCTGACCTCGCCAACTCAGGGCCAAGTCGGCTCGAAGTATGTTGGACCCCTGCATGACTTCTATCCATCACCGTCCTCACTTCCTTCATCCATCCTACTGTACCCCTCGGCTGGTAGCAAAAACACACGAAAATGCAACATAATCAGGGTCAACTTCCCTATTCTTCCCATAGTGTTCGATTAGCTGGCGAAATGTTCGAGAACTCCACCCACCGAGCAATGTCTCGGGCCTACAGCCGCCTGCTTCTTCTGCTTCTCCTTCTGCTTCTCCTTCTCTTGTTTCCGCTTCTGCTTTCGCCGCTGAGTCTTTGAGAGACCCTCCACACCGGTCTGATCTGGCAAAGGCGCCCAAAGACATAGTCCATTACAAGCTGAGGCAGAGTTGACCCAATTGCTTTGCAAACGCACGTAATTAGCTGCTACTCCCAAGCCAAATAAAACATGCCTTCTCCTAAAAGTTGTCGTTCATGGCTCGTGCTTGTACACCCTTAACATCCCCTAAGCTCTAAACTGTCAAATCTTCGTGTGATGGCCATAAATTTGATTGGGCACCCCTATGCCTTCAATCCATCACCATCCGGACTTGCTTGAAAATGCAACATAATCAGGGTCAACTTCCCTATTCTTCCCATACTAGTAGTGTTTGATTAGCTGGCGAAATGTTCGAGAACTCCACCCCACCAAGCAATGTCTCGGGCCTACAGCCGCCTGCTTCTTCTGCTTCTCCTTCTCTTGTTTCTGTTTCTGCTTTCGCCGCTGAGTCTTTGAGAGACCCTCCACACCAGTCTGATCTGGCAAAGGCGCCCGGACTTGTCACAGGTTGTTGGTATAGTTTTATTTAAAAAAACTGTTATATAAACCATTCAAGTCACAAAGCTTGTTCTGTTAGATCACAAACTTGTCACAGGTTGTTGGTCACAGGTTGTTAGATCGCCCCCAATTTGTGATCTAACAAGCTTGATTCCTTCCAAATGCTCAGCCTCACAGAGGCGAGTCACAGTCGTGCGAGTCACTCCCACAGTGAAAGTGGACAACTCATCCTGCATGGACAGCTCCAGAACCTTTATCAAGTGCTTTCATGGTTTGGTAAAGGCCCCGCATGGCCCAACTAATCGAGCATATGGAAGGCCCGGCACCTCATGACGTGCTCATCAACCTCCCTCAACCCTGCTGGCCAACCCTGAATCGATCCTCACCTGGCCTATGTGGGCTGCCTGGGCAAGGGAAGACGAACGAATTTCAGAGTTTTCTGTCAAGCGATGTTCGAATCACACACTGGAACTTCACCCATCTATCTTGGGCACGTCTCATTACCAGCACGGTGGATGCCATGGCTAGTAAAGGCCTCTCAAAAAGAGTGATAATCTTTTGCCGACGGTTTCTGGTCATGGGACACACCCTACTACGCCTCTCTAACAGTGCTTTATGGTGCTCTCCTGGTGGTGAAGCCAACCGAAAAGGACTGCGCCTTCCCTGGCTTGCCTTTCTTGTTCCGTTCTGGCTCCTGAGCTGATTGAAGCGCCCTGCTTGAATAGCCCTTCTCTGTTGAGAACATAACCCTCATAACATATCATAACCCAGGCTCCAGACTGAAATTGGATGATCGTGACCGCACCCTTCATGTCTTGTGCCAACGTGGTCAAGACCGTCAAGACCAGACCAGCGGTCCAAACCACACCACCATTGGGCCAAGGCTATCCAAAACTCTTTGGGCCAAGCGTCAGGCTGGGACCTCCCCGGACCCTTCGGATGGCTCGGCTGCGTTCGAAAGAGTGAGGCAAACCTCATCAAGCGTCGGCATGCAAATCCAGTCCACTGGCAGTGACCGCCCACAATGCTGCCGAAAACAAACGTAAACCTGTTGTGTCACATTGAATTGCATCATTTACATAGATAGATCGTAAATGATAGTGGAGCACTTGTGCCAACACTTCCCACCTTCCTTGCCCCTTTGAGGATATGTATATATATAATGCTTACAAGAGCCTACCACTGGTCCCCCGATCCCACTCCAAAAGCAGGTGAAAAGGCTGTCTCCAAGGCCACGCCACATCTGGCACCGGTCTGCACGCTGCAGCGAGCACGCTTCGCCATTGGTCAAACAATGGTCACTAAGCTGGTCGAATGGCCAAACATTCTCAGGGCTTCGGTCACAAACCTGAAAGAAACGCCCATGTGGTAGGCACCCCAAATGAGCAGGTTAATGGATGGAGGGTGTATCAGAATCAGATCCTTTTGAGCTGGCTGCGGTTCCTCCAAGCTTCATCCAAGAGCGTGGTCCTTTCCACTGTCTCAAATCGTGGCGTTCCAAAATGGAGAGATGATGCTTGATAAAACAAAAGAAAAATCTCTCTCTATATATATATATATACATATATTTAAAATTTATATATGTGTGTATATTAATGTGTGTGTGTGCGTGTATTGTGGTGCCTGGTGGTGACCGCGTCTCTTCTATTCTACTCCAATCACATGTTGTCGCTCACCCTCTCCTTTATGCACTCACTCCCCTCTCCCTCTCTCCCTCTCTCGGGATATGTGAACGTTTTTGCATTGGTGGCCACGAAAGGCAAAAACAAGGCTGGCCCAACGTGGCAAGCCCGAATCGCCCGAACGAGTGTCGCCAGGCCATGCGTAGCCGGAACTGCGGACCAGATGTGTCGAAAAGCGAACAGCGGCAAAGACTTGAAACAAAATCTGAATATGCTACGTGTTGCATGTACATCATGACGTGAATTGGTGTACATGGGGTAAATAGTTGTGGATGATGTACATCTGATTGGTGTCTGGTTCTGCACATTCACTCCAAGATTGAACGCACCCAAATGTTGCCGGCACATGGTCAAGGACCAGAGAGTTCTTCGTAACTACGACCAGTAGCAGCAGCATATGCTTGGCGGCGGTGAAACGGACCAGTTTCTGAAGAAACGTTGACTGGTGTTCAGTCATTAAGATGATTGGACTATACGACTATACAAACACTGCGACGACCCGTTGCATTGACAGGCTCCCGACTCCTCTCATCGAGTTCTATGTGGATCAACTGCTGCAAATGTGCAGCTAGAAACGAACCCACTCTCTTTGCGCAGTGTTTGCATGCACTCGCCTTGGCTTCAAAAATGCTGAGGTGCGGTTCTTAAATTCCTGGAAAATGCCTGCACAAGGTACGAGTACCAGAAAATACAACAAAAAATACCCCCCAAAAAAAGCATCAGCTTCTTGCCCTCCCAGGGGGGGATTAAGGCATTATATATAGTTGGAAACAATCAGACATCATCAAGCCATCCACCCTGTGCTGTTTGGCTCAGAAAGCTCAAGCAGAGCTGAAGCAGTGGGCGTCTCAGCGCAGCATTGGACTGGTGGCTCGAGGTGGGATAACTCTCGAAGTGAAGAGCCCGAATCCGACAGTTTTACAGTAATCTCTTACTCCGACAACTCTTGGTTTGTATGTTTTGTGCGGCCTCTTACTTCGAGGCAAGTTGAAGTGGAAATCAAGCATACCTTCATGTTGCAGGGCAAATTTAGGACGGAACGGCTGGGGCCTTTCACAAACAGTTGCCACGATGTCCAGTACATCTGTGAGACTGGGATCCCGTTAGTCACGGAACGCACAGCCCAAAGCCACCGGCAATCTCTTTGTACACAAGCCTGTCTATCCTCACACAACCGGCCAACATATTCCATTCCATCTCAGGCACTACCCACCGACCACGTATATATATAATTATATATATATATATATCCATGCTCATGCCACTTTGTGACTATTCGCCTGGTACGAGATTGTGAGATTTGAACTTGAGCAACCGGATAAACAGGCGAGCAGCTTGTATGAATTGCCAGTGCCCACATCTCATACAGCATCGCCTGAAAGCAACCATGGAGTGACGATGCATCTCACATGAGGAAACGGCTGTGCCAGCCATGCCTTACGGAGGAGTGCAGCAGCACCGACCTTTTTTTTGAACCTCTTCTCTTCTTGTGAATGGCACTGGCTTTGCCAGACTCACAAACAAATATGATCAAATATGAGATCGATAATGGAGATGACTACGGTTCAATAAATCATCTCACATTCTTCACTGTGGTCACTATGGCCTTGACAAAGATTCCAATCAGCCGAAGTCATCCGTACAAAATGCAAGAGTACAACTGTGGCAATCGCTAGGCGGCCATTGCCCAATTGAGTCTAGCTCAAACACTAAGAAAAAGTGCCGTGGACTGCTTCGATGTCAACTTTGGATCTCGTCTCGAGCACAGCTCGAGCACAGCAAGCACGACGTGACGTAGGATCTTTTTTGTTCGGTGACTTCAATGCCACATTCCAGCACAGCTGGTCAAGGCATCGTCACTGAATCCTTCTGGCAAAACCAGCCCCACAGCTGTTACTGTCGGGAGACGTTCAAAAGTTACAGATGCCCTTGGCCCCCTTGGCCCAAACTGTGAACGCAAAGCAGGAACATGCCATAGTGGAGGCAAACCTGTTTGGTACGGAGCTCAGGGCAGACCTGCGATTGGCGGGCACGAATGTGCACTTCGCACCAACAAAGCCAGTGACTCTGGTAGAAGTGGAATAACATGTGGATCCAAAGAAGACACTGTTATAACTAAGTAATGTTCCTATATTCCACGTCATTCCTAGTCCATTCTCTTCTATTATCTTCTATTCTTATACATTGAGATCACTCTGCCTCCATGACCCGTGACAGCCCTTTACCACCTTTACCTCTGGCCTGACTCGGCAAATTGGTCTGGAATTGCAAAGGGAACACATATGAATACACTCCCTGAAATGACCTCTTCCATGACCACTTTCCTCTACAAACTGATGTTTTTGCACTTCCATGATTGTCCGGAGTCATTGTCTGGCATGTAAAACCCTTGGAATTCCGGGGTCTAGGACGGAAACAACATGAAGAAACGCCTGGAAAAGCCGGGAAAACGACCTCTTCAAGCGGGTCTTTCCCTCCACCCTGCGAACAACCTGCCCCCAACCAACCGCCTTGGCTTTGGCTTGGTGTAGGAACTCATTCGGCCCAGCGACGCGGTGGCTGAAAGCCGCCTTACTCGGCCAAACTGGGCGCAGAAGCTGGACGAAGCTGGAAAGAACAAGTGGACCCCTCTTCAAAATGAGGAAATCGACATCCACCCTTCCGATCACCACGCAGCTTCATGGGGAGGCTTCCCCATGAATTACTTGAGGCCGAGGGTAGGTGACGAAAGCTAGCAGGGGTGCATCCGGACTGGTGGGACATCAAGCGGAGTGAGGCAAATGCTCATGAGGTAAAACGTTGTGAACATGTAAGACACACAAACAGCAATGACACAGCCAACCTTAGAATTGAAGTCCCCGATAATTAAGGAAGCGTGGCTGGACTTTGCCACACTGTTCGATGCATCCGATGTGTTCACGAACCTGTGAGCTTGTTGAATCTGTTGCACCGTATCCCAAAACCTCCACGGAGGAGTTGAACCAGTGTGGAAGCCATAAGAGGTGCCCAAGAGGTGTCCCAGAGGCAAAACAAAGCTGATTGCATGATTTGTTTGGTTTCTTCTATCGATGTCGATGTCATGAACATGTGAGCTTGTTGAATCTGTTGCACCGTATCCCGGAGGAGTTAAGCCAAAGTGGATGCCATAAGAGATGCCCGAGAGGTGTCCCAGAGGCGTCCGAGGGAGTTGAACCCACGCAAGGGGGGCCCTACATATGAAGTTTTCACGTGATTCGGCGATCCCGAGGATTCCAGCCCCTCACTTGCTAAAGCAAGGACAACTCCAGCTAGCTGGTGCTAGCTTTCGTGAAAAGCAAGAAAGCACCAACCGGATATAGAACTGCTTCCGTTCCTGTCCGAACAGAACCCATCGGACTCCGTCATCCGTTCACTCCGTTCAATTCACATGTTTTTCCCGCTTAGGGGTGATGAATTTTTCACGGATGAACGAGTGATCCCGGGGGCGCTGGTGGCCAGGTCTGGAGACCGAAGCAGCTCCAGCACACGAAGCTCCCCGACGGACGCGAACGCGCTCCGACGCTCCGACTCGGTCCGGGAGGCGAGAGATCCTCGTCAGAGACACTCTCAAAGAGGAAGTCGTGAAGCTCTTGCAAGGTCACATGCCCATCCTGCCACTCCAGGTGAACGCCCCCGTTTCTCGGCCAGCACTCAAACGTGGCCATGGGCGAAATACAGCGAAAATCTGACTGGGAGAGTGCGCTTAAGCGCAATGCCCAACGGCTTTGGCGTGGAACTTCTCACCTTCCCCCCACGGCTTTGGCCAACGGACCCCGCCGGAACGCGCGGCCGCGCTGGAGTGATCCCCCCGTCGTCCTGATCTGCATCGATCCTGGGCATGCAGAGTTGCTTGGCGGCACGCCCAGTGGAGGAAAATCTCCAAATCCTTCAAGACCCTTCAACATCATTCAACTGTGGATGGCCACTGGTTGTTCCCCGGGTCTTCGTTGCGAACGTGGATCCAACTCATTGGCACCAACCATGATCTCTCTAGTCGACTGGATCACTACATACGCGGCCACGGTCGTGCCTCCCAAAACACCCGGAGGCCGGAATGTCAGACCCATGGCCCATGGCTTTCCCCAGTGCCTGGTACAAACCTGCTCGAGTTCAGACCAGCTTAAAGCTCCCTTGAAGATGCTTGCCAACTCCTCCATGCTGACCTGCGGCCGAATCGAGTGGCAATGCCTCCCATATGTTTCTTGGAAACAACGGGGTCCGGTCTTCACTTTGGGTGTTGAGTGTTTGGCTGACCCACCCTGGCGGGTGCATCTCTGGTTTTTTTTCACCTTCACATGTCATGATGCTCTTAATGATGAAATGGCGGGTGCATCTCCTTCACATATGGCGGGTGTCTCTGGTCTTCTGAATGGCTTTCCTCTACCAAAATTCAGGATGCTCAGATCCGGCGGTCCTGACCATTTCCATCTCTGTCCAACTGGTTGAAGAGCCGTTTCAGAATTCCATCCAGCACCGACCGCTCCAACGTGTTCCAATCAAATGTGACCTTGGAACCGCTCCAACGTGTTCCACTCACAGTTCTCTGCAGCCGATCGACTCGACTCTTTGTCTGCAACCCAACCTCCAACTCAGCCATTGGATTTTGGGAGTTCACGACACAGCCGCCCCAACGACAGACGATCACTAGACTTCGACCGTTCACTTCGACCGTTCACGACACAGCTGACATATTCCCCCCCCTTCGACGACACGGCCGCTCCATGGCCGCGAGTTCCAGTCGCCCAAGGTGCTGCAACAAACTCGGGAAAATTGAGGCGGCCATTCTTGTCAATGTCGGCCATTTTGAAAATGTGCTCGAGCCAGGCACCTCAAAAGCACGAGAACGCTGGTAGTGTGAGCGCGGCCAGCCGGGTGTGACGCAAGGTGCCACAAGCACAGAGCAAACCTTGATATTTTAGCAAAATTAGAATTTGTCTAGCGAGCATGCTTTAGGGGGAAAAACTGCCGTTCATCAGCGTCATAAAATATGTCATTGGGGAATGATGTCATGTTCGTGCTCCCCGCTTGTCTGCTGTCCCGCCCATCCGTATGAACTCCCCATGCAAAACTGCAAAAATGACCGCTCTCTACCAAGCTCAAGTGCAGGCCCTGCCTCCTGTAGACTACTTTAAAGGAGGTCTTCTTACACTATATGCCTTTCAGACTACTGTATTAGCAGATCACTGTGGGGGGCCCCATCTCGTTCACAAGTGGACATAGATATTGATCAAACAACATTGTGCATGCTGTAGACTACAATAGCCCTGAATCAAAAAAATACGTGGTTGCTTAATTTGCGAACCAGTCGTTAAGCTCACAGCCTCCGTATCTCCGTCCACCCCCCAGACACCTTGAGGATCATCCCTTGTCATAGGGCTTTTGCACAGGGAACCTCAGAGACTGGCAGCATCTCGGGACGGTGCCCCCTTTTCGGTTTCATCATCATCATCATCCACTGACGGCCTCGTGTTCCCCACTCTTAGCAACGAATACGCAGAGAAATGCCAACTAGAATGCGCATTAGAGATCATGAAAGAACCGTCTGTCTGCTGATGTCGCCGCAAGTTCGCACCCAAAAATGGAACCAAAAGCAGCTCCCGTCCGGTCCACCGGTTCCATGGCCGCCAACCCCCCGCTGCCTGAGGTCGGACTGCCGGCCAAAAGTTCAAAGGCTTGTTGAAACTCCTCCAGTGACAAGCTCCCGTCGTTATCCTCAGCCAGCCGTTGTCCCCAAACCAGCGCGTGAGCCGGAGGTCGCAGTGTTGCCGCGTCCACGAGTCTGCAACACGACGCGAGGCCCACCAAGCGAACAAAACGAGCCTGTGGTGTTCAACTGAGGCCAAAAAATGTCATGGTGGACATCAACTTCCTCAGGGCCCTGCAGCGTCAATCGTCTGAAAGACCTGCCACGTGCGACGAAGCCGCGACAGAATTGGGCGGAAAGCATAACATTGCATCCTACTATTGCATGCATGGCGCCATCAGCAGAAAATGGAGGCTTAGCCTCATCTTCGAGCATGCTCAATCTGTGGTTCAATCAGCTCGCTTGGCGCTTCAATCGCATGCGAGTAGGCCACCTTCCAGCTCTCCTCGTAATGGCTCCGCTGAAGTTTCATCGCCATGGCATTCAGCAGCAAGGTGTGCGCCATTCCCTGCCATTTCGCTGTGCCGAAGCTGGGAAACACCACGCGCAGAACGTGGCTTTTCCGCTGCTTTGCGTGCTCACAAGGTCACAACTCTTGAGTAGAAGTCCAATAGAAGACTCTTGAGGAGCTTTGTGTTCAACGGCCACACTGTGAATCCACAAACGACTATATTTAGATGATGAAACCAAACGTAGCACCAAACGCATTGGGA